ACATTTTCATTTAAATTTTTTGAGGTCAACTAAGGTCCCTATGGGCGCAATCTACTCCGATCCGGTTCTGGAGGGAACGGACCGAATTGAGCCCAGTCGAGTATGGAAATTTTGGAAATGGAACCATTGGTTCCATATCCAACTATAGAATTGAACGGGAAACAAATCAAGCAATTCTGATTCGGTCCAATCCGATTCTTTATTTTAAGAAAATTATAAAGATCAAGTATGAAATTATTCGTCAAATTTGAAATAGACAAACATAACGAGACTACTTGTCATTCTTGTAATTTGACAATCAGAAAAAAAATTAAACAAAGCAATAAATAGAAATCAGCTTCAAAGCTCAAGATAATTTGTAAAAGCGAAAAAATAATAAGGTACAAAACATAGCATAAATGGTAAAATCTCAATTAAAATTTAATTTTTAATAAGATTCATGTAACAATAGCCAATTATTTTTAGTAATTCTTAAGGATCGTGACTCTTGATGGGCGGCAACTTTCAAAACAACGACAAAAATATATTTTTTCAATTGTATTGCATTAAAACTATGAATTTGTAAAATACTTACTTGAATTTCGATTACACATTAAAGGAAAGAAGAAGCATAAAAAAATTGAAAATTTAACGTAAGATAATTTTGGGGTCTAGTGTTTAAAGATTTGATGCCTCTTGGTACAAGTAAAAAGAGAAATTCGGGAGATCCGAATTCACTGTTGATTCTCACGACAATACCGAGAACTGAACTGAAATTGATTTGTTCTCGATATATAGTCCCAAAATCAACCTATTTAGTAGAGGAATCGGAACTAAGTTGATCGGTTCTATTTGGTTGGTTCCAGTCCGACTCTACCAATTCCGGGGAAATATGTCCACCCCTAATCCATTGGATCTATTGTATGGCACAATAATATAATCCTCGAAATAAAAGGATGTTTAACTTAGATTTTTATTGGTCAAAAATTTATTGCCTTTGCCAAGCCGAAAGAAATTGTGGGTTCTTTTATTTCTTGCAGTCTTTTATTTATTACTCTTTTTCGCTTTTTCACTTTTCAGTTTATAATTTGTACACTTAGGGGCAGAAAAAAGTTGATCTCTGTATCAAGTCTCACGTTCACAAGTCACTTTAGAACTCTGAGAGACTGACAAAAAAATGCTTTTTATTTTCCAATTAAAAACCACACTGTACATATCATAGTCTTCTGGATTTATCAAATCATTGATTCTATTAAACAAATAATTTGATTAATCTGTTTGAGCATGGATTAAAACGTAACAATTCGATGGGGTTCTTCAAGCCCTAACATGGTGATCCCCGACCCTAGCCATGGGATTTGATTCAAGCCCCAACATGGTTCATGCAGAAATAGTCCATATCATATGCATATGACGTCCAACACGATAGTTTTTTTTTGGTTTCCTCACAATTTAAACTCAGGACCTCCCTTCAAAAGGCACCTAAGAGAACCACCAAATGGAGATTCCAGTCCCATTCCGCTTCTCCTCCAATTCTTTGACCTTAAGGTAGGATAAACAAGAATTGGAATACAAAGAGTTTTCCCTATCTCAATAATCTAAAGAACGTATGTGGCTCTTCTTAACAAGCCCCGCAAGATATTGGTTTGTTTGATCAGTTAAATCTTGAAATTCGTGTGATCCTTTCAGTCTCAATCAGATTGAATTACTCATTTGAGTTTAACGGAATTTGATTAAGACTTGAAATTCCATTTTGGAATATCAACCTTATTAATAAGAATAGCTAAATTCGTATCTGTTGATTCATATTTCAGTATTTAATTGATGTGAAATTAATCCCTTAACACTAATGATTATTATCATGTGAATATCTAATAAGCAAGCATTTCTCTTAATAATCTTAGCCTAATGAGCACTTCATTCTCACGTGAGATTGTATATTATTTTGGGCAAATGACCATACTTACTCCAGCATATGCAATAATCATGTCTTCTGGTATTCGTAGTAGCTTTGGGGCTTATGGAATGAACACGATTAACAGAATTAATCATGATGTTATTATCCATTAATATAGCTTACATGTACCCTGGAATTATAACTAGAAGAAAATGTTCATCTTAGAATGATAATTAGAGCCCGGTTTAAGGGTCGAAAATCTCATTAGTTTATTAAAGGTTTGATTTAACGACTATTTCGAGCTTGCATTCAAATTTGTTTTTCGATAAACCCGACTTAATTAATCGGCGATCACTAGTCTTACTGATGCAGAGTGTGGACATAATTGAAAGCATGCACAACTTCATCTTGTATGATTGTTTCAAGCCTGCTTTTAGTACACATAAGTGGACCAACTCATTGCATATGCTAGCAATCATAATAGGCGATGCATCTAAAGTACTTTAAAGGTATGCTTGGCTCCACAACTATCTAATATCAACATATAAGATAAATTAACATATCGTTTATAGAAAGTGATGTAAGGACTTATTTAATTATTTTTTCCAAAGATGTAGATGATAGGAGATGCATTGACTAACCTCATTTCACTCACGATGAGACATGGGCACCATTCATTTGGACATTTACTCCATACCAAGTCCCTTTTTGTTTCCCCTTTTTTAAAATTCATTTGTTTTTTCAAATTCATTTTTAATCACATATTTCATACATTTCACCACTTTTAATAATCAAAATCTACTAAAATCTTATTCTTATTTAAATCAAAGAGGAACGAAATAGGTCCACCCTCATGTTCAAGTTGTACTCGGCATCTAGAAGTTATACAAATCTTATTGAGTAATCTAGAATAAGAAAAAGAAAACGTGTAAAGATGGGAATTAGCAAGCGAAGACGTGTAAATAAGGGAATTAGCAAGTATATAAGGGTCAATTTAGTGATTTTGGCTAAAAGCATTGCTTAACTTTGCCATTGAAATTTATATTTAAAATTGTAGGAAGGAATCGTGCCTGCAAAAGCAAAAGGAGCGCAAGTATAACTAATAAAGAAGAGAGAAAAGGATAAGAAAATCGTATTGCCAACTGAACAAACATTTTCTTCTTCTAACTCAAATCCAAATGAGCTTCTTCACTCTCTTTCTCCACCTCTCTCACAAGCACTATCCGCTTTGTTCATGCAAGATCTAAACAACTCACAATCAAGGTACATAACATCTCTCTCTCTCTCTCTCACACACACACACACACACACACACACTATATCATGAGAAGAATTGGATTCAAGTCTCGTCCAACTAACTTATAAGGGTTTTGATCGAAAAATAAGTCGAAGCCGCATATGAGAAGGCAAATTGACACACATTTAGCAACTTAAGCTTTTTAGACTTTATGCTTATGGTTGATGTGCAAATACTGCTGCATGGATTTTCGAAGTGCGTGCAATACAATAACTATTGTAGTGTGAATTTGTGATGCATTATATGCTTGACTCCGAGACCTAAGCTTTAGTTATATAGATAAAAATAAGTTCAGATTTTTTAGTATATTTTATAGTTTTTACAAGTTCAATGACCTGAATCCTTCAACTAAGCCTCTGTTTGGCAAATTTATAAATGGTATTCAAAGAGTAATAGTAAGATGAATAGTAATGAGTCTTACGAAATATGGGATAATAATGAGGAATAATTATGATATGTGATTGAAATTAATGTTTGACTTTGACTGAATTTATAAACGATACATAAAATTGTATCCAAATATTGGAGGCTAAAATGTCGGATTTGGCTTTAACAATTTTTGATGGAATCTCGAGAAATTTAACCGGTTCAACAAGCTAGGACCTAGCCTACACTTGTGGACCTCGTCACGCTCCTCTTTGTTAATAAGTACACGTTTAATATTTCCAAAAGTAGCAAATTCTACATTAGGTTCTTCTATCCATGTGTGGTGTTGTAGGAAGCCTTGGTACCAAAGAGCAATGCAAATGGCCGCACAGTGGAGGCCCTTTCCAATATCTGCTGAAATTTCTACAACAAATGGCTCGATTTGGAAAACAACTTCGAAAACAATAGAAACTTCGACAGCAAATTCCAATAAACAGAAGCTCAGAAAATGCAAATCTGTAAGATTGGCAACTTCGTTTACACGAGCTTGTTTATGTGCTCCAATCTCTTCTTACCAAGAAGTTTCTCAAACTGATTTTGCACCAAGAAGAAGTTACAGTTATCCAAGATCTTCTTCGAACACTTTTCCAGCCATCTCACAAGAGAGAACCCCGAGTGCAAGAATGAGCATGGAAGGAAGGAGAATTTTTCGCGGAAAATCTTTGACAGATGATGTTCTAATGAGGAGATTTGTTATTGAAGAAGAAGCAATGATGCAAGTTAGAAGAAGGAATGAGATGGAAATTATTAGGAAGAGAAGTGCTATGAGAAGAAAAAAACTTGGGCCTAGTCCCTTAAGTAAAATGGTTGTTTTAGTCGAGAGTGAGGAGGAGGAACAATGTCAAGAGCATTAAAGAAGAAAAGTAAATGTGTGTAGTTTCTTCCACTTTTATCTTTAGAATTTACTTGTGGATTGTGTCTTTAATTTTATGGGTGATTGTTTGCCATTTTTTATTTTTTTTTCAGTAATCAAAATGTACAAGTTAATGGCAATGAACTTTTGGGACTGTTTTCTTTAAGTAGTTTCAAAAATATTTATAAGTCGTCGTCGTAAAAACAATTACATTAGCACAATGAACTCCACGTTCAAGAGAACGTCCAGAACAAGCCCCCCAGGGCACTTCTCCACTGGCAAAGGACGGACGCTGTCAAACCTGGCAGAGCAGAGGTCGTGAGTTCGAAACATGAATGTTCAAGTTGTACTCGGCATCTAGAAGTTATACAAATCTTATTGAGTAATCTAGAATAAGAAAAAGAAAACGTGTAAAGATGGGAATTAGCAAGCGAAGACGTGTAAAGAAGGGAATTAGCAAGTATATAAGGGTCAATTTAGTGATTTTGGCTAAAAGCATTGCTTAACTTTGCCATTGAAATTTATATTTAAAATTGTAGGAAGGAATCGTGCCTGCAAAAGCAAAAGGAGCGCAAGTATAACTAATAAAGAAGAGAGAAAAGGATAAGAAAATCGTATTGCCAACTGAACAAACATTTTCTTCTTCTAACCCAAATCCAAATGAGCTTCTTCACTCTCTTTCTCCACCTCTCTCACAAGCACTATCCGCTTTGTTCATGCAAGATCTAAACAACTCACAATCAAGGTACATAACATCTCTCTCTCTCTCTCTCTCTCTCTCTCTCTCTCTCTCTCTCACACACACACACACACACACACTATATCATGAGAAGAATTGGATTCAAGTCTCGTCCAACTAACTTATAAGGGTTTTGATCGAAAAATAAGTCGAAGCCGCATATGAGAAGGCAAATTGACACACATTTAGCAACTTAAGCTTTTTAGACTTTATGCTTATGGTTGATGTGCAAATACTGCTGCGTGGATTTTCGAAGTGCGTGCAATACAATAACTATTGTAGTGTGAATTTGTGATGCATTATATGCTTGACTCCGAGACCTAAGCTTTAGTTATATAGATAAAAATAAGTTCAGATTTTTTAGTATATTTTATAGTTTTTACAAGTTCAATGACCTGAATCCTTCAACTAAGCCTCTGTTTGGCAAATTTATAAATGGTATTCAAAGAGTAATAGTAAGATGAATAGTAATGAGTCTTACGAAATATGGGATAATAATGAGGAATAATTATGATATGTGATTGAAATTAATGTTTGACTTTGACTGAATTTATAAACGATACATAAAATTGTATCCAAATATTGGAGGCTAAAATGTCGGATTTGGCTTTAACAATTTTTGATGGAATCTCGAGAAATTTAACCGGTTCAACAAGCTAGGACCTAGCCTACACTTGTGGACCTCGTCACGCTCCTCTTTGTTAATAAGTACACGTTTAATATTTCCAAAAGTAGCAAATTCTACATTAGGTTCTTCTATCCATGTGTGGTGTTGTAGGAAGCCTTGGTACCAAAGAGCAATGCAAATGGCCGCACAGTGGAGGCCCTTTCCAATATCTGCTGAGATTTCTACAACAAATGGCTCGATTTGGAAAACAACTTCGAAAACAATAGAAACTTCGACAGCAAATTCCAATAAACAGAAGCTCAGAAAATGCAAATCTGTAAGATTGGCAACTTCGTTTACACGAGCTTGTTTATGTGCTCCAATCTCTTCTTACCAAGAAGTTTCTCAAACTGATTTTGCACCAAGAAGAAGTTACAGTTATCCAAGATCTTCTTCGAACACTTTTCCAGCCATCTCACAAGAGAGAACCCCGAGTGCAAGAATGAGCATGGAAGGAAGGAGAATTTTTCGCGGAAAATCTTTGACAGATGATGTTCTAATGAGGAGATTTGTTATTGAAGAAGAAGCAATGATGCAAGTTAGAAGAAGGAATGAGATGGAAATTATTAGGAAGAGAAGTGCTATGAGAAGAAAAAAACTTGGGCCTAGTCCCTTAAGTAAAATGGTTGTTTTAGTCGAGAGTGAGGAGGAGGAACAATGTCAAGAGCATTAAAGAAGAAAAGTAAATGTGTGTAGTTTCTTCCACTTTTATCTTTAGAATTTACTTGTGGATTGTGTCTTTAATTTTATGGGTGATTGTTTGCCATTTTTTATTTTTTTTTCAGTAATCAAAATGTACAAGTTAATGGCAATGAACTTTTGGGACTGTTTTCTTTAAGTAGTTTCAAAAATATTTATAAGTCGTCGTCGTAAAAACAATTACATTAGCACAATGAACTCCACGTTCAAGAGAACGTCCAGAACAAGCCCCCCAGGGCACTTCTCCACTGGCAAAGGACGGACGCTGTCAAACCTGGCAGAGCAGAGGTCGTGAGTTCGAAACATGGGGCTCTTGGAAGGCAAGAATTTATTCTTGGAAGGCAAGGGAACATTTGGAAGGCAAGGATTTATTCTTGGAAGGCAAGTGGGAACTTGGAAGGCAAGGATTATTCTTGGAAGGTAAGGTGCAACTTGGATTGACTTGCTTGGCACTTTGTCAGACCAGGTGGGGAGCGCTCGGACCCTGGCCAGTTGGAGGCACATCCTGCGATTAACCGGACTGTGTGAAGAGGGGCCGGATCACAGACCCAAGAATTAGTCTAGAATAGGACACCTTGTAAAAAAAAAAAAAAGAGAACGTCCAGAACAAAAATAATGCATTCTTGTGTTGATTATTGTAAAAGTGATCAGATCTTAGTACAAGAGAACAAATTAAATGGCGTAGTTGCTTTAGGTTCTCTTCCACCATTAAGTGAGCCTTTCTGTTTGGACTTGCTTCTTGTGTCTTGACTTGATGAGCTTTGTTTTAGAAATCTGGTTACATGTACATCAAGATTTACACATCTAGCGCTCTACTATTTGTCAAATTAAAACACAATAAACTTTTTCCTCCACATCATGTTCAGTAATTGTTTATACATCATTTTGATGTACAAGTAGCAAAATCCTTTTTTTAGACCTCTTGTATGTTAAAGGATAAAATCCCACATCGAATAAAAATGAAAATATAGACCAATTTACAAGGGTTTGGACTATCCCTTTTAATAAAGTTGACATTTTTAAGATGGATCTTCAAATCTTTATATGATATTAGAGCCCGTAAAATTTCAATGAACAATTCGATTAGATTAAGACAACAAATAAGCACGTGATTTTTAAGATTAATTTACTCAAACGAATCATCATCATGCAAAGATATGTTAAGAGATAAAAACTCACATCAAATAAAAATAAAAATATAGACCAATTTATAAATGTTTGGACCACTTTTTTTAATAAGATTGACATTTTTAATAGGGTAATTGGCGAAAAACGTCCTTACCTTTCAAGGTTATTGTGGAAAACATCCCTACGTTTTATTTTTTGGCATTTTTGCCCTTAATTCAACATTTCGTTGCGTTGAAGGTCATTTTCACTGTTGTGGAACGTAAAATGACAATTATACCCTCCTATTTAAAACAAAAAACCAAGAAAAAAAATTCAAAACAAATTGCAACCCTATCCCTAAACTTTTAAAAAAGTATAAATGAGTCCCCAATACTTAAAATATTGAAAATAACCAAAAAATACTTTATCTTCTCTTCCTCCCCTTCCACTGCTAAAGCCAAAAAATATTGGTTGGTTTGGGAGGGGGAGAGAGAGAACATAAGGTATTTTTTTTGTTATTCTCAATATCATTTATAAATATCACACAACTATTTTCTCTCTTTAAAATTTATTTCTTCAAAATCCAGCAATCTGAACTCTCTTCGCAACCTAGATTCAATTCTAGGAAATCATGAGTTACTACAATTTGAATCAACCCCTGTTGGAGTTCCTCCTCCTCAAGGTTATCCATCGGAAGGATACTCGAAGGATTGCCTATCTGCCATCGGGCTAAATGCCGCAAGGTTACCCACCACATGTCTACCCGCCCCAGGGCTATCTTCCACAATACGCTGCTTCGTCGCTGCCTCAAAATAAATCTAACAGTAGTGCCAAATTCATGGAAGGCTGTTTGGTTGCATTGTGCTGCTGTTCTCTTCTGAATGCACGCTTTTAACGAGGAAGGACATGTGAAGAGGGGATTTGATTTAATTAAACGAGAGGCAAAATGTTACTGGCTTCCCTTTTCAATTTCATGAATGTAAATTTTCTTAATTCTTGTCTGTTTGTGTTTTTCATTGCCCTTTTAAATAATTGTGAAGAGGGGATTTGATTTAATTAAACGAGAGGCAAAATGTTATTGGCTCCCCTTTTCAATTCCATGAATGTAAATTTTCTTAATTCTTATCTGTTTGTGTTTTTCATTGCCCTTTTAAATAATTTGGACCTTGACTTGGGAAAAAAAAGTATTGGGGACTCATTTACACTTTATTAAAAGTTTAGGGGTGGATTACAATTTGTTCTGGATTTTTCTCTCTCTTTTTTTGGTTTTCTGTTTTGAATAAGAGGGTATAATTGTCATTTTACGTTCCCAAACAGTGAAAAGGACTTTCAGCGCAACGAAAGGTTAAAATAAAGGCAAAAATGACAAAAAATGAAACGTAGGAACGTTTTCCACAATAACCTCGAAAGGTAAGGACGTTTTTCGCCAATTACCCTTTTTAATATGGAATCCCAAGTCTTTACACTGTCCTCCCACTCTCTTAGCAGTCATTCTTGATGGCAATTTGATCTTTTCGTCTTCTAGCTTTTGTTCTGGGATTTTCCTAACACGTTTTTGCATGGCAGCTTTTTGCAAAATAATAGACATTAGTTGAGACATTATAACGTAATAAAATAAGGACGAAAGATGTTCAAATTGGTTTGCATCTTCTAATAGATGTACCCACAAGCCGAGTAGATTGATAAAGAAAAATTCATATAGTCGACCTTGTCATTGTCACCCTCACAATAACTACTAAGGTAATAAATGTGACTTGTAGTGCTAAGTCCGTAAATTACTTAAGTGGCTTAAAATTCTATCCCCTGCAATGTGTTTCTGGGCTCGCTTGACAGCAGGTCTACAAAGTCCAAAGCAATACTGTTATACAAATAATAATCTGATTCACCAAACACATTATTATTGATTGACTAAGGATGTCAATGGAAATTAGGTTAACGACTCATCACTCAATAATCATCTTTAATTTGTTAATAATGGACTTCAAATCACGATAACTTGGATACCGAGTAGGTCCATCCACCTACTTTTGTGTTTTTTCTTGTCTACTCGAAATTTGAGATGTCATGATTTGAGTGGTTATGAATTTGAGGTAATTCACTTAGTATCTAAAGTATTGCGATTTGAATGATTTGGAATTTGATATGTCATGATTTGAATGGACGATCCTTTCATGCAAACATATATGATCGTCCCATTTAAGTATTTCTAAGAAAGCCCTGGATGATGAGTGAATAATGGGAACTAGGTTAACAAGCCAATATACATAAGAGAGATGGAGAAAGTGTAATTACTTGTAATCAAGGATAGTGATTATGTAATAAAAAATTCGGGTCAACAGTATGACTGAAACTTCGTAGTTTTTGCTCAAGATTTTATGATAATTGACAAATTATAAGTATATTTCTAAATTTAATCTTGACAAAATAAGTAGTTCATTGTGGTGTAGATTGTTTAAAGGCCATTCCAACATGGTGAATTTGTCCTTTCGTTCTAAACGTGTAAACATTTTTATTCGAAGAAGCCACCGTTTTATGTATGTTTATTCCAAAAGAAGTGAATATGAAAATGTTGTTATAGGCCTTAATGTTTTTTCTTTTTATTTTTTCTAAAAAAAAAACACATTATTTCAATTGGGAAGAAACAAAAAGTTGAATTCATTCGGTACTCCAGTCTTATTAAATTGTATCGAATCATAAAAGTATAATATCGTCATATTATGAAATGAAAAGACAAAATATTTATTTTAATATTTTAGATTATGTAATACTTGTCTAATACTCGAGCAACAAAATGTTGGTAGTTCGCGCACAATTATTTTACATTCAATATTTAAAGTCACTAACTTAGAATAATTCATTAATCATACCTTCAATTTTGTATGAAATTGTTAAACACGTCTTTAGTAGTACAATCATTTTTATTTTTATTTTTTTGGTTCTTGATTCTCTCGATTGTAAATCCTTTTTCTTCTATCCTTTGATGGGAGTATGAAATATCTTTTCATTCTGTTCTGATTCTCCATATTTATACCTATTGAAAAGTAAAAGATGCTGTCAATCCTCATCTTTTAGAAATTGCAAAATGTAATGATGTAATTCATAGAATTCTTTGAAAAACTTGCAAACTTTCCGTCTAAATCAAGGAGGTGTCCTCAATTGAGATTTTGATGATTTTGAAAGATTATAAATTGTAATGAATTTCGTGAATTTGAATATATTTTCACAAAATTCATAAGAATCTCATTAAAAATAGTGAAATTTTAAAAGAATTTGTTATATATATATTTTTAAGTTTGAAATTCATTCAAAAGTTTTTAAATCTCTATATTAATGAAATTCTTATAAATTCATGAATTATTGAGAACACCGAAATTTTAAAGGATTTCATAAATCTCAGTTGTGACACACCTGGATTTAGAATGATTTTTAAAATGGATCAAAACCTCAATTGAGGACACCATGCAAATTTGATAGCCTTGATTGTCACAATACACACAAGAGGTAATTTTCATTCATACGGTCAATAGGTGGGTTACAGAGTTTATATTGGAAAAAAAAAACTCCTAATTTTGGATAATCACAAATCCGTAGCTAATTAATTGATTCTACACATAATTGCCTAATTCTATTCCCTTAAAATGATACAATTATATATGATTTATGTTTCCAGAAAAAGATTTCTAACAGCTCACGCCAACACTCCCCCTCAAGTTGATGCATACAGGTCTCTGATGCCCAACTTGTCAAGTGAGTTGTGAAAGTCCTTGCTTGAAACTGTCTTTGTGAGTATGTCTGCTAGTTGATCCTCGAACTTTACAAAAGGGAAACGAATTGTCTTTGCTACCAAGTTTTCCTTGATGAAGTGTCGATCTATTTCCACATGTTTTGTTCTATCATGTTGAACCGGGTCATGAGATATGGCAATGGCAACTTTGTTGTCACAGTATAGATCCATCTCAGTACTAGGAGCAAAGCCAAGTTCAGTGAGCAGTTTTCTGATCCAGAGGAGTTCACAAAGTCCTTTTGCCAT